CGATTCTGTTACTCTTAATGACAGATTAGTATCGTTATGTTATCGCTGCGCAGATAATAGAGAGTTTTCCCAATACCATTTATCCAAATACAGTGAAAAAAATGCTAAAATCAAATTATCTTCTTCTTAATATCTAATGAAGAAAAGGATAACGTGAGCGTTCACCGTATCTGGATTTATGTTATTGCAAAAGCTCCCAGTATGTACAGTAGAGAAATTGTAACGATAACATAATGATACGGAAATTTCGTTAAGAGTCAAGAATTGAAATATATTAGTTTCAATATCTTTTATAATAATTCTTAACTTGTTCTGTGATAATCTTTCCGATGCAGCAAAATATAAAGATGTTGAAACACAACGATAAATTCAATAAGACGTTGTTATTCTTGTTGCATCGAATGTTTTCCAAGCCTAAAAATTAAAATATGAGCTTATTTTTATAGTATAATTTATGTGTGATTCTCTATACTATATACAGGGCGGCTCCAAATTTTGGCCCGTTCTGAGCAGATGGAGCGTTCTGAGCAGATGGAGCGAACTTAAACTGAGTCGAAAAGTCTTCTACCATTTTGCAATGCTCACAATCTGTTGTTTGGAAAAATCTGTTGGATTTTATTAAGTAATAACTACACTATGTAAGTAGAAATCAAATATTTCAGACAATCACGTACGATTGTAAAACAAAAACTTTAAGAATACAAATATTTACTTAGGTATACGATTTTTTTAAAATTGTGGCATAATTTCATAGATGTGTTCGCAACAAGATGTTACAGCGACAGTCGCTGCTGCGTGCTCAGACATGTTTACGCGTGTCTCGCGCGTTTTATTTTTAATGTAGCCTCGATTATTCTTCTTACCCCTATATATCTCGGTCTCCCCTATCCTTGTTTAATATTCGGTGAATAAGGTTAAATAATGCAGCATGCGCATCATGCGTGAAACGGAAGCCCTACTATTGGCGAAGGTATGGCCCACCGATTGCACTGCGTGCAATGGGCCGCGAGGAGTGGGGATGGCCTAGCACGCAATTCGAGCTTAGTGGCTCGCGGCGATATGCAGAGTGCTCGCTTCACTCCCTGAGCGCCGTGCAATCGGTGGGCCGTACCTTTGCCAATAGTAGGGCTGCGTTCCGTTTCACGCATGATGCGCATGCTGCATTATTTATCACCTTGTTGTTCCGAATATTAAATAAGGATAGGGCAAACCGGGTGAGCGTACCTTAGACAATAGTAGATCGGGCGGATTCGGCTATCTTTAAATGTTAATATCTCGTTAATTCTCTATTGTGAGCATTGCAAAATGGAGAATTTTTCGACTCACAATCTGTTAGTCCGCTCTACCTGCTCAGGACAGATGGAGTTAAAATTTGGAGCCGTTCTGTATATAGAGTGTCCCACTTAACTCGAGCGTCTGAAATATTTTGCTTGATTTTTATGATAGGAAAAAATGTTTCAGATAAAAGTGGAATAGTTTCATGAGGGACGTATTTTAGTCATATTTTCTTTCTTCTAGGTAAAGGCGCCAAAAAGATGAGGGTCACTTCCATTTTTTTAAATGGAATTGTATAATTTTTTTTACACAATATGATATTCCTCTAATTATTCTGCATATAAAAGTATTAAGGTAGTGACATCAAAAAATCAATAGTTTACGAGATATTTTATACTTTATTGTGGCACATATTGACATAAAATATTAAATAACTTATAAACTATTAATATTTTGATAATCGTATCTTGATACTTTTATGAACAGAATAATGAGATGAATCAATTGATGAAATGAAAAAAAAAACACAGTTGCTTATTTAAAAATGATCTATTTTACATACATTTAAAAAAAAATAATTTTTTAAATAAGCAACTATGTGTTTTTTTTCCATCAATTGATCCATCTCATTGTTATTCTGTTCATAAAAGTATCAAGATACGATTATTAAAACATTAATAGTTTACGAATTATTTAACATTTTATATCAATATGTGCCACAATAAAATTTTTTGATATTTCTGTCTTAATACTTTTATATATAGAATAATTAGAGGAATTTTATTATGTAAAAAAAATTATACAATTCCATTGAAAAAAATAGAGGTAACTCTTATATTTTTTTGGCGTCTCCACTTAGAAGAAAAACAAAATATGTCCCTCTTGAAACCGTTTCACTTTCTGAAATATTTTTTCCTATCATAAAAACCAAGGTATTTCAGATAAGAGATATTTCATATGCACGAATTAGATGGGAGATCTTGTATATTATAGTAAAATAGCATTGTTTTTTATTTTTAAATAAATGACATATATAGATATGTTTAATAAGTTTTTTTATATTTTTATGATATACCATAAGTATGATATCCAATTACACAAAAGCCCATCGTGCATCTCATTAATTCTGCATGAGAAGGTGCATAATACTTTGTGCATAATGCTTTTCACACGTGATATAAAATCGAAATACAATATATAAATATAAAAGAATTATTTTTAGGAAATTATTCTTATATAAAATTGATACTTTTCTTGAATAGAATGACGAGATGCTCTTTTAGTAATTCAAAAAAAGAAAATGAATTTACTTTCATTCTAACGAAAATATTTTAAATTAATGATTAAATTATTCTAAAAGATTTGATGTTCTGAGACATACGATGGGTATATTTCTTAATGGCGTGTGCGTGTGAAATACTTTAATATCTTTTTAGATGATGTTCTACAATAACATTCAATTTTCGTTTTGTATCGTTTTTTTTTCTTGATTTTCAACAAGTTTAAGTAACCATACATACAATACATTCAGCTGACCGCAAGCATGTATCGGGAAGACAGCAGCCAAACTACCGATGACAAAGAAACTCGCTATGAACATTGTCGGGTCCTGCAGAAGCAATACGATTTCAATCACAGGACTAAATCTTGTATTTATCCTTTACGTATAATTTTTTTATAAATCGGACAAATCGTCGGATACGTTGTCTCATTGTTGTAATGATGGTCGTAGTTTTCATCGGTCGATTTTCCGAAGCTGAACGGGAAGAAACCGTCTCATTACTCCACAGATCTTGGCGACGAAACGGCTGAACTGCATGTTGCAATATCACTTTACGTTCGTTAAACTTTTGTACGAGACTCCAATCTACTTCCATATATCGTATTGCGAATATCATCTCTGTGCTTGAGCAATACTCAATAATGTTTCGAGCTTATAACTGTGAAACAGTGATCCTACGATATTCAATTTTTGCTTGATATTTTCTGCTTTAAATAATATATATTTAATAACAAGCAAGAGATTGTTACGATTGCTGTTGTGTTTGAGCAAATGAAAATTTATAATATCATGATTTTGTACATTGAACTCGACGCAATTATTTGTGCCGATTGGTTTGAGAAATCATTAATTAAATTGTAAATTGTAATCGGTATGTTTCTTTAATTTATAGCTTTCTAATGCTACCAGATAAATAATATTTGGAATTTGTCATGATCGCTGCATAAAAGCATGGTATACTATCACTATCATAGACAATTCATTATGCCAGAAAATACGAAGAAGTATTTGCGCCAATTTTCAAAAGAATTTGGTAGGTCTAACATTAAAAAATTATTTTAAGAGGGTATTGTATTCGATCAATATAATTGTTCATCCAGAGATTCTATTGTCCGAAGTCTGAGAGAATATCGCGTGTTATAAAAAATATAAAGATAGATTTACAGAAATGAAAGTGCTTTAATTTAACAGATTTTTTTTTTGATAATGTATTTTAACGTATTTCTTATATTAATAGAGATACAGAATAAATTTCTAGAGTTTTATTATTTATTAATGGCGATAAGATTAAACTATTTTGAACTAGAAATTAGTATAAATGATAAAAATATATGATTTTGAAACATAATTATATGAGGAAATAATCTAAAATATATCAGCAAATTTTTAATTTTTATTTTCCTATATTTCTATTTTTTGCTTAGATGACAATATACTTACTTGTAATCTTTTATAACAAATCAATATATAGAATTATAAACTGCAATTGTCATACTTATTCAGTTCCACGTTTCCTATTATACGCTATCTATGTTTAGTATGCTCATTTTATAAAAGTACGTAATGCGCTCTCACAAATGGACAGTTCATTGTGCCAGAGTTGAATGTAAAGTAGCGCCTAAGCAAGCCCTCGAAAAAGTTTGATAAACAACCTGATATTATAACTTACTTCGAAAGGGTTACATTTCCGATCAATAATTGTTTGTCGCGAATTTATAGTATCAGTTATGGAAAGAGAATATCGTGTGTCACGAAGAGAAATCCATAGAAATAATGTACTTTAACTATATCTGATATGTTTGTCTTTATTTGGTTATATGCAGTCTTATTTTTTCTATTGTTAAAAAGATAAATATATAATTTCTATGTATATGAAAATTAAGCCTTTATGTTTTCTTTTATTTGTATTATTCGATCAATTTTCAATTTCTTATAGAAAATTAGTATTTCTCAAATAGAAATTATTATAAGTATGAGAAAAATCATAAGATATTGTATGTATTATATATATTTAAAAATTATATATTAATGACTCATTATGTCAATTTTGACGTAATCATAGAATTTATTTATTAATTTTTATTGCATAGTGTCTCATATAGAATATATAGGACATCTATTTCTTTGTAGTTTTATAAGAATTTTGTAATTGTGTAATATATCTAATATTGTTATGTTATAAATATGTAATCTTTTTATCAATAGACCAACCAATATAAGCCTAGCTAAAATTGGAATTCTTTATAAGAATTTCGTGAAGGAAAAATGATTGTAAACGTTTTCTAAAAATCTGTGTAATGTCTTTAAGGTCACTGATTTTTAATTTCAAATTTGTGCAATAAATTATTAAATCTTTTTTTCAGGTTACATAATTTTAATAATTTGTTCTATATAAAATATATAATGTATATATTTCTTAACTTACATTTCATGTAATTACTTTTTACATAGTCATTGTTCGCAAAAAATTTAAATAGACCATGGAAGTTTTAATTACCTGGAATAACAATATACCTACTTGTTTCCGCAAAAAGCAAAAATAATATATATTACATTTTAAAAGTTACAAATTTATAGATTTATTAAAATTTGACATTAAATTTAAATACACACTTATAATAGAATGTGTGAATGTTTTAAACATAATAGTATAGTTACTTTTGGACAGTACGATTGTTACGATTATTATAAAATGATTATAGTTTGAAATAAAGTACAAGAAAAGTATCAAAGATATCAAAAGCTTTGCAGGTTATCGCTGTATTTTTATCTATTACTGACATTAGCAATGGATAAAAATATGGCGATAAACCTTCTGGTATCTTTGAAAATAATACCTGTGAAAGCCTAAAAAGTGTTACAAGAAATGTATAATTTATTAACCAAAAAGAAAAATATTTTTTATTAATCAAAGGAAGCAACGGTATATATGCATTACTTACATCACCAAAAGTTGCGATGGATAAATGGAATAATTTTCCCGCTGTTATTTTAATTACGTTATTCGATCGGGCAATAATCAAAATGAGACCCTGTGCAGTTTTGTGGTGTAGATTATACCAGTCAGTCATATATGCCATTTCCCCAACACGTTTGCACTAACAAATTGACAGAAGATTTACATTTTCTATGAAAAGAATTTGACAGTGTAAATTAGTATGATGGTAAAAAGAAATATTTAATTTCATTAAAAGTTAGGAAAGTAGGGGTAAGACGATCTTAAGGTTTATTGATTCTTCTTTATTTCTGTGATATGACATAAAAAGAATTTTTTTTCAGATTTACTAAACCCTTAGTTATCATATGTGAAAATGAACTATATGTTACATAAATAATTAAATTTTTGGAAAATTCATATTTTAAGAATATGTCAATTTTATAATCTTGCTCACTACTGAAAATCATCTTGCTTGCAATCGTTGTGTTTATTTAATAAAAATATTGTAAGATGAATAATAAAGAATATTGTTATGTTACTCTATGCATTCTTATCTATACTATATTATACTGTGGTTTCATAGTAAAAGTGAAAATATTTGTTGCAATTATTTCATTATTTATAAACTAATAGCAATGAATCACAGATGAGTGCATGTAAATGTTTCTTATATTATCTTCTTTTCTGAAAGTATTGAAATCAAAGTATTGAAATACAAGAGATGAGATATAAGAGATGATTTATTATTATCAAAGCTTTTAATGAATTTAATACCGACTTGTCAACTGTTATTAACTTGTAACTAATATTAAAAATTGGTTATCTTTTCCACTTTGTCATCTTATCCCCCTTTCCCCTAATTAATTGTATTATTTTTTTCTGTAAATATATAATATTTTATTTATACGCTTTTCTACTGGCTGCGTCCAGCAGACAAAATGCTCAGTAAGCGCTCAGTGATTATTTATTATTATATAAATCCTTATTCTAATACGTTTTAAATATGAATCCATTAAAATATTAAAGACACGAATCAAAGACCGCATTTGTTTATTTTGCAATTTGGTAGTTTTCTTCGCGCTGATAGGATTATATTTTTAGATCTAGGTAGTCCTATTTCAGCAAAAAAAACTTCCACCTGCATTAAAATATTGTATTGTACGCGGTCATTGACTGAATTACCAAAAAAATATTAAAATCTGATATTTCTTGGTTTCAATATCTTTCTATTCTCGACCTGTTCTGTAATAATCTCTCCGATGTAGCAAAATATAAAAATATTAAAACCCATCGATAAATATATAACGACGTAAGATGTTATTTTGGCGGTATCGAATGTTTCCCAAGCCTAAAAGTTAAAATAATCTTTTTGTCATATTTTATATGATTTTCAGTACATATTTTATAATAGAATAGCAATATATAATATTTGCATTTCATAAATAAATGACATTTAAGTGTATTTTATAAGATTTTCAAATTTTTATGATAGTTAGCCTACCATAATAGTGTAATATCCCATTAAACATAAGATTATCGTGCATCCCATTAATTCTGCAAGAGAAGCTTTGTGCATAATACTTTCCACACGTGATATAAAACTGAAACGTATAAATGTAATAGAACTTTTATTTTTCGTAATGTAATTATATATATATATATATTGAATTGATGGTTTTCATGAACACAATGACAAGATTCTCTTTTAGTGATTTAGAAAAAGGAATTTATTTTAGCAAAAATAATTACTTTAAATAATTAATTAACAATAAAATTATTATAAAATATTTAAAAATTCTGAAATATAAACTTTGTATATTTTTTAATAGTGTTTGTGTATAAAATACCTTAGTGTTCTTAGATGATGTTCTACGATTGCAGCCAATTTTTTATTTGTATCATTTTTCTTCTGATTTTCAACAAGTTCATGTAGCCACGCATACAGCACATTCAGTTGACCACAAGCATGTTTTGCGAAGACAGCAGCCAAACTGCAAGCACCAACAGTAGAGAAACTCGCTACGAACATTGTTACGTTTTGCAGAATTAATGCAATTTCATTCACAGGGCTAAATCTCGTATCGATGATCTTGCTGTAAATCGGACAACTTGTTGGATGCGTCTTGAAAGTCTCGTTGCCAATGATGATGGTTGTAGTTTTCATCGATCTCCCTAAGCTAAACAGAAACAAACCGCCCTGCATAAACACCGCACAGATTATGACAATGAAGCGGCCGAACTTGGCATGTTGCAGCATCACTTCACGTTCGTCAATCCTTTGTATGAGATTCCAATCTGCTTCCATATGTCGTATTAACTTGTCAATGTCATGACTACGCTTGAGCAGCACCCAGTAATGTACCGAACCCATAGCCCTGTGAAGCAGTGGTGCCACGGCGTTCAATTTTTGTTTGATATTGTCTGCTTCAAATAACACATATAACAAACACGGTATTGTTGTGACTGCTATCACGCTTGAACAAACAAAAATTTGTAGTAATATCATGATTTTGTACATTGAACTTGGCGCATTTATTTGTGGCCACGCACCGATTAATTTCAGAAACCATCGATTAATTTGTAAACTGTAATCGATATGTTTTTTTGATATGTCGCTTTCTGGCGCACATTTGAAATTTGACATGATCACTGCACGAAGGCACACGGTGTACTGCCCATCTGCCCATACTGCCATGAATAGACAACTCATTGTGCCAGAATATGAAGAAGCGCCTGCGCCAATCTTCATCAGAAGAGTTTGGTGATCGGTCTAACGTTACAAAGTTACTCTGAGAGGGACGTATATTCAATCGATATAATTGTTCGTCCAGAGCTTTTATTCTCCAAAGTTTGAGAAGATATCGCGTGTTATGAGGAGTGTAAGGATTAATTCGTAGAAGTGACATTGAAAGTGCTTTAATAAATTTTTTTATTTGATAATGTATTTTAATAACGTATTTCTTATATTAATTAACCGAATAAATTTTTAAAGTTTTATTGTTTATCAGTGGCAATAAGAATTAGATTAGCTCAAAATATAAAAATTATTATAATTGAGAAAAATATTTTATATGTTATTGAAGCATAACTATGAAATGTTCTAAAATATATTAATAATAAATCCTGGCGGAAAGTTTTAACGAAAAACTTCTTTTTTCGTAAAACTAAGAATTTCTAAATATTGTTTTACATAAATTGAAACAATATCTTAGAAATTCTTAGTTTTTCGTAGATATTCATAATGGGACGTAGAGTTATTGTTTGAAAAATCAACAAATTTTTCCTCAAACAGCGTTTTTACGTCTCACTAAGAATATCTACTAAGAAAAATTAAGAATTTTTAAAATCTTAATCTATGTAGTTTTTGTATACTCTTCCGTAAAAATTTTTTTCCGCCGAGGAACTTTTTAATTTTTACCATTGCATTTCCATCTTCCTTTAATATGACAATATATTTATTTATAATCATTTATGAAAAACAATGAATCCAATTGTAAATTGCATTTGTCATACTTATTCAGTGCTCCTTATTCAACGCTCCTTACCATACACTATCAATCTGTGTTTAACACGATCACTTTATGAAAGCACGCTAGATGCTAGCACGCTCTCACAAATGGGCAGTTTGTTGTGTCAAAATTGAATGTGATATCTGAACAAACCCTCGAAAAAATTGGATAAATAGCCTGATATTACAACTTCGAAAGGGTTACATGTCCTATCAATAGTTTGTTGTGAATTTATAATACCAGATATGGAAAGAGAATTTCGCATTTCAGAAAGAGAATAAATTCGTAGAAATAAACGTACTTTAATTACTTGTTATGTGTTTCTTTATTCGGTTATATGTAATCTTATTTCTTTTACTGTTAGGAAGGTAAATATATAATTTATATATATATATTAAAATTAAGCTTTTTATATCTCCTATTTGTTATTTGATTGATTTTATTTCTTACAGAAAATTAGTACTTCTTAAATGAAAAAATTACCATAAGCATGAAAAGAATTATAAGATATTTTATAATATATTTTTTTTATTATATATTAATGACATATTATATCTATTTTGACGAAGCATAGATTTTATTTATTAATCTTTATTGTATCTCATATAGAATATAGGATGCCTATGTTTTTATAGATTTTCTATATTTTAATCATTTAATAATTGATTGTGTGTAACATATTTGATATCGTTATGTTCCTAAAACTTGTATGTACATGAATT